CATGTCCTGGGCTTTTGTTTTTGGGGAGGTTTTTGATTACCATTTCAATTTCGCTGCTTGTAATCAGTCTGTTTAGGTATTCTATTTCTTTTTTATCTAGCTTTGGGTGATTGTTGAGTTGTAGGAATTTGTCCATCTCTTCTAGATTGTTGAATTTGTTTCCATATAACTGTTCATAGTAGTTTCTGATTATTCTTTTGATTTCTGCTGTGTCCATTGTGATTTCTCCTCTTTCATTTGTGATCCTATTTATTTGTGCTTTTCCTGTTTTTCCTTTTTGAGCCTGGCTAGGGGTTTGTCTATTTTATTTATTTTTTTGAAGAACCAGCTTTTAGTTTCATTGATCTTTTGGTTGTTTTTTTAGTTTCAATTTCATTTATTTCTGCTTTGATTTTTATTATTTCTTTTCTTCTACTGGCTTTGGGTTTTTTTTGTTGTTCTTTTTCTAGTGCTTTGAGCTTTGAGATTAGGTTCTTTGAGTTCTTTCTTGTCTTGATGTGAGCCTGCATTGCTGTATATTTTCCTCTTATTACTGCTTTTGCTGCATCCCATGCATTTAGGAAGTTGGTGTCCTCCTTGTCATTCAACTCAAAGTCTTTTTTAATTTCTTCTTTGATCTCCTCATTAGTCAAGTGGTATTCCAGTAGTGTGGGTTTCAATCTCCATGAGGTAGGAGAGTTCCTTGCCTTCTTTTTTGGTTTATTTCTAGTTTGATGACTTCATGGTCAGAGAAGATGGTTGGTATGATTTCAGTCTTGGTTTATCTGTTGATGTTTGTCTTGTGTCCCAGTATGTGATTGATCCTGGAGAATGATCCGTGTGCACTTGAGAAAAATGTGTACTCAGATTTTTTTGGGTTTAGTGTTCTATAGATGTCTGTTAATCCCAAGCACTCTAGATCCTTATTTAGAGCTTTAGTGTCCTTACTTATTTTTTGTCTCATTGATCTATCCATTATTGATAGTGGTGTGTTAACGTCTCCTGCTACATATGTGTTTTCTTTGATGTTTGTTTTCAGAGATGATAATAGTTGTCTGATATATTTTGGTGCTTCTTCATTTGGTGAGTATATATTAATGAGTGTTATTTCCTCTTGAAGTATTGTCCCCTTGATCATAACGTAGTGACTGTTGGGGTCTCTTTTTACCTTTTTGAGTTTGAAATCTGTTTTATCTGATATAAGTATAGCTGTTTCTGCTTTCTATTTTGGTCCATTTGCTTTTAGGATTGTTTTCCATCCTTTAACTTTGAGTCTGTTTTTATGTTTTGTAGTTAAATGTATTTCCTGGAGACAGCAAAACCTTGAGTTTTGTTTCTTAATGCAGCTTGCAACTCTGTGTCTTTTTATTGAAGAGTTTAGTCCATTTACATTTAGAATTAATATTGATATGTTAGCATCTGTTTTTGCCATTGTGTTTGTCTTTCCTCTGATTTTATTTATTTATTCTTTTAATAACTTTTTGTTTTTTGGCCTTCTTTCATTGTTATTCATCCCTCTGTTGGTTCTGGCTTTAGGACTACTTGCAGTATTTTTTGGAGTAGGGGTTCAGTCGTAATGAAATTCCAGAGTTTGTTTGTCTAGGAAGGTCCTTATTCTTTCTTCATAGAGGAAGGAAAGGTTTGCGGGATAGAGTATTCTTGGTTGGCATTTGTTGTCTTGGAGTCTGTTGACTATGTCCCTCCACTCTCTCCTTGCCCGTAGTGTTTCTTCAGAGAAGTCTGATGTCAGTCTGATTGGTCTTCCTTTGTTTGTTATCTGTTTCTTCCCTCTTGTCAGCTTCATTATTTTTTCCTCTTGGATCCTTGGTAGTTTTATTATTAGGTGTCTTGCTGTATTTTTCCTTTCATCATGGAAGTTTGGTGTTCTTCTTTCTTCTCGTATGTCTATTTTCAGCTCCTTCACGTTTGGGAAGTTCTCTTCAATTTTTTCCTTGAATATTTTCTCTGTTCCTAGGTCTCTCTCTTCTCCTTTTGGGATTCCTATAACTCTTATATTTCCTTTCCTCGTGGAGTCAGATAGTTCCCGAAGTCTTTCTTTGTTCTTTTTCATTCGTACTTCTCTTTCCTTTTCTGTTTTCTTTTTATTTCTGTGACTTCAAGATTACATATTCTTCCATTTCCTCTATTCTGTTATCACTGCTTTTCCCAGTGTTCTTTAGCTCTTCTGTTAATCCTTTGATCTCCTGCATTTCCTTCATTTCTCTCTTTCGGGGCTCAATTTCATTCTTCTGAATGTTGTTTTCCTTAATGACTTCCGTCAGTTTTTTCATCATGGCAATTTTAATTTTTCTTTGTGGAAAGCTCAGATGTTCTTCCAAGTCACTGTCGTTGCAAGCTGTGGGTGGTTTTCTTTTTGTGGTGTGTCTTTTTCCTGAGGAGTTGCTAGGTTTATGTAGTTTTTCTTCTCCCTGCTGCCTGTTTTCTAATTTGCCATATGCGTTGGGACACTGTCGCTGGTACTGGCTGGCATCTTTTTGGTGTGCTCTTTCTGGGGTTTCGGAAACTGGTGATCTAAAGGAGTCAAATACTGTTATGCCAGACGTCTAGTGAGGCAGTGGTACTTTGAGTATGTTAATGGTCACTGTCACAGAATATCCCTCCTTCTGTGTTTAATTCCAAAGGTGGGCCTCCCTGGTGGCGCAGCGGTTGAACCCTGGGCTGCGAAGCTGCCCGCAGCCTCTGCAGCACCCGTTCGATCCCCGGCTGCTCCCCGGCCACCTGAGGGGTTCCCCCATGGTGTGCAGTCCTCCCCTGCCACCTGCTGCTCCCCTCAGCAGTGTACTTCAGTCCTTCTGCCTGCTCTGCTCCCCACTCTAGCTCTGGTGAATTCTCTCATCCTCCCGCGCTACTGACTTTACCCAGTGCTTGTATAAATAAAATAAAAATAAATCTTAAAAAAAAAAAAAAATTCCAAAGGTGTGTCTAGAAGTCCCACAGACTTCTGTGGAGGTGGGGCAGCTGGATTGCACTCTGTGTTCCAAATCACTGGATCCCCCTCTGGGCTCCAACTTCCTGCCAGTTGGGTCCAGGCTTGTGGGGGCCTTCAGTTCACCTCTGACTGCACAGGGAAACTTCTCCCTGTTTCAAGCAGTCTTTATTGAAGTAAGTTCCCTGTTCTAAAATGGCTAGTCGAAGACACACTTTCCTGTGCGTGGTCTGCCCTGGCCTTGCATGCCAGCTTCACCTCTGGGCTCGGACTGCTGGCCAGAAGGGGCCTGGTGTGGGTGAACTTCCCAGCTCACCTCTGGTCCTTGGGGAGCCTTCTGCTCGTTTCAAGCAGTCTTTATTGAAGAAATGTCCCTGTTCTAAAATGGTGAGTCAGAGATGCACTCTCCGGCGTGCCTGGTCTGCCCAGGCCGTGGGTGCCTGCTCCCCCTGGGCTGCTGGCCAGAAGGGGCCTGGCATTGGGGAATTTCCCAGTTGAGATACTCTTATTTACTCTTATTTCTTACAGATTTCATTTTTTTCAGTGATAGAAAAAAATATTCTGGTTAATGCATATTACTGTCTTTTCCAAACATCAAATGTTTGTTGAATTCTCTAAAACTGAGCTTTAGAGAATTCATGGGTAATGTGGGGGAGAGTTTTATTCTGTGTAAAGCCAACTTGCTTGATTGGATTTGAATACTTGAGTCTCATTTCTTTTACCTTGCACTCAAATAAAGTCTGTCCGAATACATGGAAATTTTTTTTATTCTCAGAAACTGAACACATTTTCTTTTTTAAGCTGAACTCTTTATACTTTACCTTACTCTTAGAAACTTGACTATTTTTATTTTTATGAGTTTTAAATCATTATAGTGTGGATAGCTAAAATATAACTAATAAATACTAGGCCTTGAGATTCTTTAAAAAATTGATTTCTGTTTTTTTTAGAAGCATATGTAATAATTAAAAAGATACGTTATGTACCACTATACAGTAATAATAAGATAATGCATTTCAATAGTTCCTTACCACATTAACTATTGAAAGATATATATATATTTATATAAGAACTATATATTTAGTTTTTAAAGTATTCTAAAGAGCTTTTAGTATTCAAACCTTATTATCTATGTTCATGTTATTTGCTTACCCAGTTTTCATTTTATTTAAGCAGTTGTGATAGGGTTCTTCATTTTTGCCAATAGTCCAAAGGTCATGCAGTACATAGTTTAGGTCTGCATTTATTTTTATTTCGAACAAGTACTGTTTTTTAAAGAGGTATGATAATGTATTTGGATATTTTTCAGATATTTCAATAAAGAATATTCTTCAACACATTCAATCATGTCTTTATGGTACAAAGTTTACTACTTTGGAGAGTAGCTTTAGGAAATATTATATGATAGAACACAATGTAAGCAACCTAAGGCTGGAGGTATTTTAATTCTAACAAAACTTCAGAAAGGAAAATTAAAGAACTTAGTTGATGGTAATTAAACTGATAATAAGAATAGTTTTCATGTTGTAATGTGAGTTAGGCATGGTATTAAACATTTTAAAATTATTTTATGTTTGAGGAAAATTGTGTTGTCATTCCCATTTTAAAACTGGGGAAGCTGAGGATTAAGGAAGAGAAATAATTTGCCCAAACTTATCCTACTAATTAGTGGAAATAGATTTGAATTCCAAAGACGGATGACCCTTGAGCCTAATCATAACTAGTTTATACCTCCTTTATGTTGTATGTTTGTTACTTTGGGTCTTTTTAGTATTTTAGCTTATATTCCCATCCTTTATATTCTTCTTACTTAATGTTATGAGTGAAGTCAAGAAGATATATTATGAAAATGATATAAGTGAAAATGAATTTGTAAAAGACATTTCAAGAACACACTTGAGATCTATCTCTATCTGCCTACCTACCTATCAATCAGTCATCTATACTTGTGTATGTAATCTAGTCCTATATATATGGTATAGATTTTTGTTTTATGTTTATTTATATTTGTTGAAGTTGCAACTTTATGATGAAGCACATTCTTCCTGTAGCATGACTATCTTCTGACTTGCAGGTTTTAAATGCACAGAGAGCAGGATACAAAGCGGCCATAGTTCACAATGTTGATTCTGATGACCTCATAAGCATGGGATCCAACGACAGTAAGTACAGGTATCACTTTTCTTCTCTCCTGTTTGACAGATCATTCATATCTAAAACTTAACAATTTCTCTTCTCTCGTTTTCTGTTTCTAAAGCAAAGTATGTATGCTCTTTGTCACAAAGATAATTTCCAATTTATATCCTTCTTGGGACAGTTTTATTTACAATAAAAGTGGAATTGACTTTTTTCCCCCCCCTGGTTAGGATTTTTTTTTTAAACGTATGTTTAATTTTAGAACATGTGTTGATATTTTGAAAAAAAGTAGAAGGAAAACCAAAGCTTTTAATAAAGAAACATGCAGAGTGAAGGATGCTTTAGGAGGTTTTTTTTGTGATTTGGAGATTCGCAGCATTAACTTTTAGTATATGCAAATATGCTAAGTAGCCACTGTATTCTTGTGGAATTTCAAAGTCACATACTGTGTTTTCTTAAAACATGAGATTAGTAATCTCTTAACATACATTGGCATACCTATAGCTTTTCATTCAAAATATAATACTGTATATTGTCCTTCCTTTTCCTTAAATTTCAGCTTGTAGGGAAAAAGTAAATTTTAATAAATAAGTGACTTAATCCGAGAGTGACTTGTAAGTCACTCTAATTTTACCTACCTAATTTAGTTTGTTCCCTTTTTTTTTTTTTTAAACATATTTTGTGTGTGTCTGTATCTGTGTGTATTTAATTTGGTTTAGTTGCTGTCTCTCAGAGCACTACAGATTTTAACACACTCCCTCTAGGTGCTATTAAGATGATTCATTACCAACATTCATGATTACGTATTTTGTTTTTCTTGTAATACATGACCATAGCTCTTGCCACTGTGTTCCACTGAGTGATATATGCAAGAAAGAAATTGGAACAAATAGCAAACCTAAAATTATGGCTGATATGCCACATTGGAATGTATTTAGGATTTTAAATAACTACTTCCTCAGTAGGAAATATTTTGGATTTTTAACCAAAAAATGCTTTAATAGTATAGACAGTAGTTCTTGTTGTTGTCTGAGAATTCTTTTCTTTCTTACCTGTAATATAATCTAAGGCAAAATTATATATATATGGTAGAGTTTAGTAATAGTTTCCTAAGCTCATTTCTTTATGTTTTAAATTATTAATCTTCTAACAAATTAAGTATCACAATTATAGGCACATTTGGTGCCTTTATGAGGTTTTAGAATTTCAAAAAATTGACAGCCTTTGCTTGGGAATTACAGGAATTACTACTTTTGGTACTGTAGATTCCTTTAACTATACCTTTTAAAAAAGTATTACCCACATAATGCATCCTAGGTCAGTACCTTTTGTGACCTAGTTATATTATTGGCAAAACAAACCTGAATTCAAATTTCACTTCCCACTTTTATTAGTCATAAATCTTTGAGCAAGTTTGTTTTGTATGTTTTGCTGAAAGCCATAACTCAGGTCTTAGTAACCCTTAAAACCCTTCTCAAGTGCTAAATATGTTTGGGTTAAAAAAGCTGATTAATATTTATAAAGTATTTACTCTTTTGACATGTTTTAAATAAAAATTTTGTTAGCTGGAAGTGTCAGTTCCCTTTAATACCTATTTTGTCTTTGTAATACCATAAGACCTATTTGTTGTAATTTCCTAAGGGACATGCTAAATATTAAAAGTAGTGCTTAACTCTATAATCCTGCTGTTGCCATGGAATATTCCTATGTCAAAGATTGCTTAGAATTTTTTTTCTTTATTTTATTGCTGAGATTTCTCCCTGTGATATTTGTTCCAACCTTGCATGTGTGTGTGTTTAAACTTCTCATATATCCAAAGATAATTGTTGTAAAGATCTTTACCATTTTCATATCTGCTCTTACTTGGTAGTGGAGAGGAAAGCATAGACTTATTAAAAAGAGGCATGTATCTATCCCTCCTTTCAAGCCTTAATCCATAGCCAAAAGGAATATTGCAAGTGTTCTAAGAGGAGAGGTTCCAGTATCCAGAAACAAAAGGAAGTTATAAAAGTCCTCTTGTTACCAACACTTCACACAAGGTATTGTGTCCATTTTTATTTCATCCAGGATACAGGATGGGCTAGCTCAGTAAGCCGATAACATTTGTCATCTTCCATAGACAGCAAGATGTGATGGGGGTGGGAATTAAACAACCTGAGAACAGGAAATAAAGGTTGGTTCCATCTCAGTTGATACATGACAAGATCTGTGCTTTTGGGATAGTTATTCAACTTTCTAAAATCCTTTATATATATAAAAGTATGAATAATTTTATTTTTATTTGGTGTGCTAGGTTGTGAAGATCATATGAGAACAGGTGTTCAAAGAAACCCATGCCATGCCATGGCAGAGTGGGAAGAGCCTAGAGTTTGAGTATAGGCTTTGTAGATTCCTAACTGTATAACAGGTTATCAATATCTTTGGGTTTGTTTCTTCTCCTTTACTGTCTTTCTTCCTTCAGTATTTTTTGACAACTTACTTTTCACCAAGCATTGTGTTAGGTACCAAGACTACAGAAGGGAATGATGTGGTCAGTTGTTCTGCTCTGATACCTTTCATTGAGGCAGCAGAAAGCAGTGGTTAAGAGTGCGGTTTCTGAATGTGTGCCAATTTTTGAATTCTAGCTCTATCACCTGCTAATTGTTTGACCTTGGGTATGTTACCTAACATCTCTGTTCCTCACTTTTCACATCTGTAAATTAGGGGATGATAATAGCACTTAACACACTGGGTTGTGATAATTGAATGAACTAAAATATCTAGAAAACTGCCTGTTTCATAGTAATCATTTAATAATTATTTTGCTGGTATTATTATTGCTGTTACTGTTCTTATTGCATTATAGAGTGGGAAAGAAAAAAATGAACACATAATCAAAGATGTGTGCTGAGTGTTGTATCAGGCAACACCACACTATCAAAGAAATGGGAGTCATGGAGCAAGCTGTTATGGCAGAATGCTGCCTAAAAGGCAAAACCTGGCCTTTTTATTGGTTGAATGATTTCATAGAGTCAATTACTCGGGGCAGGGGAACAAAGAGAAAAATGTTAGAAAGAAGTAAATGTATGCTTAGGCTATCTAGACTTTTTGGGAAGATGAGTCTGAGGATCCAAATTAGTTTTAAGGCCCATGTTTGAAGATTGAAGTCAAGATTCTGACTACCAGTTGTGGTTCCGATCTTATTAACAAGGCATACCGCTGATCAGTCTGTGTGATGCAAAGTTACCTATCAGTTGATGGCTCCCCAAGTGTTCCTTGTCATGCCTTGTAACTATATTCATTGTCAGGGGATTAAGCATCCTGCTCTTGTTTAATTTGAGGGGAACCTTTGCAGGTTGGTTTGCATACTTTAAATTTAGGTAATTGATTGACTGGGCCAAATGGACTTTGTACTGGAAGGATAGACTGTATAGCCAGAATGGTAGCTTAAGCAGCTGCTTAAGCCTAGCAGAGTTAAATTTTGGTAAGTACTGTGAGGAAGAGCACATCATCCTAGGAATATAGATTCATAGGGATGAGGGGACGATGGCTTTATTAGGCATGTTGGTCAAAGGAGGCTTTTCTACACTCTGATGTTTGAGCATTTGAGGTCTGAAGTGAGAGGCTGAGATATGCAGATTTCTGATGAGAAGTATTCTAAGGAAAGGGAATAATTAACCAATGAAAAGAAACATACTTGGTGTTTTCAAGGTGTGGCAGAAAAACATGTGGCTGAAATAGAGTAAGGGAGACAGAGAGTGGCAGAGAATAAGGTTAGAGGGACATTTGGGGTCAGATCATGTTAGTTCTAGGATGACTTTGGAATTTGTTCTATCTAGATAAGTTTTAAACAGGTATAAGGTGATTGGACTCATATTTGAAAAGGATCTCATTGGTGTTCTTTGGACAATAGATTGGAGATAGAGTGTCAACAGTGAGACCAGTTAGAACATTGCTGCTGCAGCGAAATAAGCCAGAAAGAAAAAGAAAAATACTGGATGGTCTCACTCATAGCAGGAATCTAGAAAACTTAAATAAGGGACCAGGAAAATGAATAACTATAAGAAAGTGAAAATCAAAATCAACAAAAAACTATGAACCAGAGACACTCTATGGGGGGGGTGGGGGGCGGGGAGGGGAGGGATTGAGGTCAAAATAAGGGGATTGCAATTGTATGGGGAATATAAAAATAAAATTTATTTAAAAAAAAAAGAACATTGCTGCTGCAAACAGGCAAGAGTTGATGGTGGTTTGGAGTGTAAACAGTGACAGAAATGAGATTGATAGTATTAGGGACATATTTTAAAGTTGATAGGATTCAATATAAGGAATAAAGGAAAAAGAGTCAACGATCACTCCAAGATGTCTATCTTAAGAAATTAGGTGACTATTTATTCTGTTTATAGAGATGACAAAGAGTAGGAATAGGGCTGGTTGAAGAAAAAGAGACAGGGAGAATTCTGTTCGAAACATATAACTTGAAACATTTATGATACAATAAAGTGGAGAAAATGAGCTGGGAGTTGGGCATATGAGTGCAGAGGTTGGGGCTGGCCATTTGAATTATGTTGTCTGTGATGTCATGATTATAATCTTTGGTAGTATATATGTCACAGAGCTGTTTTGTAGCTCATAGTTAAGATTTAGTGTTGTTTTATGAACATGTTTCATTTTGTTTTCAGTAGAGAAATAATGTAAAGTCTCCAAGATAGCTTTTCCTATTTGCATACATCATTTTTCCCTTCTTTATCTTCTCATTAAGGTGAGAAGCTTTTAATCTTAATTTTCTCATTAAGGTGAGAAGCTTTTTACATATGAAGATATCATAACTCAAAAAGTCATTAATCCCAATAATTATAAGCCAATACTTAGAAAGCAAAAATTCTTCAATGACTTTGAGTATCTTCATAAAAGAGAAAACCATTTTGCAGTGTATGTAATGCCAAGTTTTAATTATTAAATTAACTTTTAACCATATGTGATATAAAAAAGACTGTAAGATAGAAAACATCTCTCTAAAATATATTTGGCAATATAAGAACATCTCTGCAGTTATTAAAAATGATGAGGTGATCTTTATTTCATGACAGGATATCTAAAGCATATCTTTGAGTTGATAAAAAGCTTATACTTTTTTCCATGATTATATGAACCCGTGATTATAAAAAATAAAATATTTATTGATCCTATTGATATAAAAAAAGTGATATTCCTTTACTAACCATATTGGTTACTGCCTTCTGGAGCTTAAATTTTGCTATTCTATATAGACAACAGTCTATATCTTGATTGTGGTGGTGGTTATATAATTGTATATATTTGTTGAATCTTATACTATTTTATTACTTTAAATAAAACCTTTGTCTTGGATGGGAAGGATTATGGTTCTGTTTTCTTCTTGTATTTAAAATTAAAGAAATAATGAATATGCATTAAGAGAAATGTAGAAAAAGTTATTTTTAAAATGTAGCGAAAGTAATCAACTTTCTTTAAAAGATAAATCTTTTAAATTAACTCACAGCTAAATAAGGCTCTATAAATTTTTCTAGAAGTAACCATTCAAAGAATTGTTTTTATTTCTCTTTTTGAGTAGTGTGCAAATTTGACAAAGATTTTGTTGTTGGCATTTGACTTTGGTTTTGAATATAGGTAGAACAGTGAAATTTCTTAAGAGAACAATCAAAACACAAAGCTTTACCATGAATTCTAAGCTTAGGAGGAAGTAGAAATTTACCCAAGCTTTCCAATCCTTTGCCCTTTCTCAACTCCCGTCAGCCCTTCACTATGGAAAGCCACATATATGTTTCAGTGTTGAAAGTGGTGTTTTCTTACATTCTTGGGCTTACACCTCTCCTGGGAATGTAATATGTATAAAAGCTTTTCATTTTTTGTTTAGGAATTGTTATGTGTGGAAAGAAAACTTAAAATTTCTTTCTTTCTCATAGTTAATTATGTCTGGAAGAATAAATCAAATGGAAATATTAAAAATATGAAGTATATTTTAATTTTATAGAGCTACTGAAATAATATGGTATTTTAGCTTTTGTTATTGTAAATGTGATAGTGTAACTCAGCCATTTTGATGATCTATGATCTGGAAAATCAACCATTAGACAATTAAAGTTGATAGTAATTGCATTTGCTGCTATTGTGAAGAAAGTTAAATTGATTCTACACTAAGAATGGGCTTTAAGAATATTTTTATTATTGTCTTACTATAGTTGACGTGCTAAAGAAAATTGATATTCCATCTGTTTTTATTGGTGAATCATCAGCTAATTCCCTGAAAAATGACTTCACGTATGATAAAGGGTAAGTAATAGATATTAGAAATAACCATGTGAGTTAAAATTCTTCTTTATATTAAGGTAGTATTATTTAATATCAGTCATAATCAAGGTTTTGTTTTAGATCGAACTCTGACTTCAAATAAAAACTTCTGTATGGAAATTTCCCCCAAAATCTCATTACTAAGGAAATATATAGACTGAAACTAAGTTAATTCCTACCTCTCTCATTTGGTAAAGAAAACAATGCAGTTAACATTTCAGAGATTGTTCCATGAAATGGATCCTCAAAATGTAGTGGGCATGAATAGTATTTTGACTAAGAGGAACAATAACAAAATTAATAGTAAAAAGCAGTACTGTTTATTGGGCATTTAGCAAATGTCACACACTCAAGAAAGGCTTTTACATTTGTTATCCATTTTAATTTTCACAAGCCGTAGAGGTTGTAATTATTATTTCTTATTATATACATTTGCCAAAAGAGGAAACAGGTTGCAGTGAAATCCAGTTCTAAATATTTTGGAAAAAAAGTCCATGAATCTTAGAATTTGAATGTATATAAAAAGAAGAGGGAAATATTTTCTCTTTACTCTTTTTTGTTATTTCTCCATAGACAATTTCAGTATTTAAAATGCTATTCATATGTTACATGCCCAGAATATCTTCATTAAGTTAGGAACATCAGGTGTAGTCCCCATAGAATTTCCACCCCCAGTTCACCTGTGCACCATCACCATAGACCCTTGTGCTCTTCCTGCCCTCATTTTGATTTCTCTCTCACCCTCCCCTCCCTTGCTCTGGCTAGGACATCCAGTCCTAGCATTTGACATTGGTTTTGAATATAGGTAGAATAGTGAGATTTCGAATAGTGGTGAGAGTGGACAAATAGTGGTGAGAGTGGACATCCTTGTCTTGTTCCTGATCTTAAAGGAAAGGCTTTCAGATTTTCACCATTGAGGATAATATTGGCTGTGGGTTTGTTTGTCATACATGGCTTTTATCATGTTAAGATATGTTCCTTCTATCCCGAGAATTTCAAGGGCCTTCATCATAAATGGATATTGAACTTTGTTGAATGCCTTCTCAGCATCTATTGATATGATCATATGGTTTTTATCTTTCTTTTGGTTGATGTGTTGGATTACATTAATTGATTTTCAGATGTTGAACCATTCTTCTACCCCTGGAGTAAATCCCACTATTGATGCATTGTTGGATTCTGTTGGTGAGGATTTTTTTGAGGATTTTTGCATCAATGTTCATTAGGGAGATTGGCCTATAATTTTGTTTTTTTGTGTGTTGCCTTTATTTGGTTTTGGTTTAGTGTGATGTTGGCTCCATAGAACGTATTTGGCTAGTGTTTTGTCTATTTTGTTTATATTTTCAAAGAACCAGCTTTTGGTTTCATTGATTTTTAGGATCGTTTTTTAAATTTCTGTTTTGTTCATTTCTGTTTTGATATTTATCATTTCCTTTTATTGATTTTTGGGTTTTTTTGTTGTTCCTTTTCTAGTTCTTTGAGATGAGATATTAGGTTGTTTCTTTGAGTTCTTTCTTGTTTCTTGATGTGAGCCTGTATTGCTATGTACTTTCCTCTTATTACTGCTTTTGCTGCGTCCCATACATTCCAGAAAGTGGTGTTTTCATTATCATTCAGCTCAAAGTATTTTTAAATTTTTTCTTTGATTTCCTCTTTAATCCAATGGTTTTCTAGTAGTGTGGGTTTCAATCTCCATGAAGTGGGTGGGATCCATGTTTTCTTTTCATGATTTATTTCTAGTTTGATGCCTTTGTGATCAGAGAATATAGTTGGAATGATTTTGATCTTACTGTATTTGTGGATGTTTGTCTTGTGGCCCAGTACGTGATTAATTCTGGAGAATGATCCATGTGCACTTGAGAAAAATGTGTACTTGGGTTTTTTTGGGAGCAGTGTCCTATACATGCCTGTTAAAACCATGAGGTCTAAGTCTTTATTTAGGGCGTTAGTGTCTTTTTTTTTTTTTTTTTTGTCTTGTTGATCTATTGGTGAGAGCAGGGCATTGAAATCTCCTATGATATATGTATTTTATCTAATGTCTGTTTTCAGAGCTGATAACCATTGTCTTATATATTTTGGTGCTACTTCATTAGGTGCATATGTTGATGAGTGTAATACCTTCCTGATACACTGTCCCCTTAATCATAATGTAATGTCCATCTTTGTCTCTTTTTACCTTTTTTAGTTTGAAGTCTATTTCATCTGATATAAGTATAGCTGTGCCTGCCTTCTTTTTTGGTCCATTAGCTTGTAGGATTGTTTTCCAACCTTTCACTTTCAGTCTGTATTTATCTCTTGTGGGTAAGTGTGTTTCCTGGAGACAGCAGAAGGTTGGACTTTGTTTTTTAATCCAACCTGCAACTTTGTGTCTTTTTATTGATGAATTTAGTCCCTTTACGTGTTCGTGCCTATGTCTGTGTTAGCCATTTTGTTTCTTTTTTGATTCCCCCCCCCCCATTCTGTCTGTTTATTTTGTCTTAAAGAGTTCTTGTGGTATATTTTAGAGAGGAGGTTTTGTAGAGATGGATTTCTGGAGTTTCTTTTTGTCTGAGACAGTCCTTGGTTTTTCTTCATATAGGAAGGAGAGCTTTTTAGGATAAAATATTCTTGGTTGGCATTTGTTGTATTGGAGTTTGTTGAGTATGTACCTCCATTCTCTTCTGGCCTGTGGTGTTTCTTCAGAGAAGTCTGATATCAGCCTGATTATTTTCCTTTATATGTTACCTGTTTCATCCCTCTTGTCAGCTTCATTATTTGTTCATTGTCTTGGATTCTTGTGTCTTGCTATAGTTTTCCTTTCATCATGGAAGTTTAGTGTTCTTCTTGCTTCAGAAGTATGTCTATTTTCAGTTCCTTCTTTGTGCTTGGGAAATTCTCTTCGATTATCTCCCTAAATATTTTCTCTGTTCCTACGTCTTTCTCCTCTCCTTTTGGGATTCTATAACTGTTATATTTCCTTTCCTTATGGTGTCAGATAGCTCTCGAAGTTTTTCTTCATTCTTTTTCCTTTGTATTTCTCTTTCCTTTTCTGTTTTGATTCCTTTTATTTCTCTATCTTTGAGAGTTCGGCTTTATTCTTCCATTTCATCAATTCTATTTTCATTGCTTTCCCAGAGTTCTTTATCTCCTCCAGTGATCTTTTAATCTCCCGTGTTTCTTATATTTCCTTTCCTAAGGTCTCATTTTTGTTCTTCAGTTCATTGATTATTTGCCTCATATCATTATTTTCCTTTTCATTTTCTTTATGCTTTTTAATGATGGTGATTTTAAATTCTCTTACAGGCAGAAAAGTTCTTCCATGTCATTGTTGTTGAGTTCTGGTGACCAATTTTCTTTTTGTGGTGTGTCCTTCCCCTGTGGGCTTGCCTGGTTATTTGTATTTTATCTTCTCCCTGTTGTTTGTTTTTGATGTGTTTTCTGCCGTAGGATACTGTGCTGCTGGTATTAGCCAACATTTCTTCCAGGTGTTCCTTCTGGGATGTCGGGAACTGGTAGTCAGACAGGGTCCAGGACTATTGTGCCAAAACTCCATAAGGGTAATGCTGCTGTGGGTGTGTTGATGAACGTTGTCACTGATGACCCCACCTCCTGTATTTCCTCCGTTACGGGGGGATGTCGTTGGGTTCCTAGCTTCTGACTGTGGTGGGATGGCTGTGCACTCCTGGCTTTGGTGGTCCAGGTGGTGGCAACGGCCTCACCTCCCCTTCCTCCCCCTGCTTCTCTGTCATTAAGTTTAGATTGAGTTTCAGCATTGTGCATAGGGGACGGTAAACCTTAATCACCATTTCTGTATTCAGTTGTCTGTTGTTGGGCATTTAAGGTGGTTCTATGACTTGGTTATTGTGGATAATGCTGTTGTGAACATAGGATTGCATAAATCTTTTTTGTTAGGGTTTTACTAATCCCTGGGAAATACCAGGAGTAATATTGCTGGACTATATAGTATTTCCATTTTTACATTTTTAAGATATATCGATACTGTTTCTATGGAGATTATAACAAAATATTTTCTCACCAAAAGTGAATGATTATTCCTTTTTGCCACATCTTTGCCAACATTGTTGTATCCATTGTTTGTCATACAGGCCATTCTCACAGTGGTGAGGTGGTAGCTCATTTTAGATTTGATCGTATTTTCCTTACGAGAGGTGATACTGATAATTTTTTTCTATCCCTGTAGTCCACCTCATTGTCATCTTTCTTTCTTTCTTTCTTTCTTTCTTTCTTTCTTTCTTTCTTTCTTTCTTTCTTTCTTTCTTTCTTTCTTTCTTTCTTTAAGTTAAAAGATCTCACATCTTTTAAGTTAATCTTTGATTAACTTTTTCAGAGTTTCCTGTATTACTTTGACTTGCTTTTCTTCATTTTCTTCCATCTCTTTTTTTTCTTTGCAATGGCAATTTTGAACTCTGTGTGATAGGGAGATAAAATTTCTACATCTTTGTGTTTGGAGGCTGGGGAATTATTCTTTCCTTTCAATATCATATTCTCTTGATGTCTCAACATGAGAAGTTTTATATATATTTCTTTGCTTGTTTTGGTGCTTTAAATTAAAAAAAAGATTCCGTGGCAGTAAGTTACAGACATGAAGTTATTCTGCTCTTTTCCAGTACAGTGGTTTTATTGATTTTAGTTTTCTGCCCTTTTGCCAGCTTCCATCTGTACTGAAACCTGCTTTTGCATTTGCTGATGCATTGGGTGGAAGAGGGGCCTCAGTTGTCTTCCAGTGATCCAGTTGTCCTATTTGTGCCACTGTTAGTATGCCTTCTTTCTGGAGTTCTAGGCCTGTAACTCTATATTCTTGTGCTATCAATATTCTTCATGAGGTCAATATTAGTCTTGAGGTATGGTGACGGTGAATAAAGGTCAACTGATTGTCTTTGTTCTTTTCACCAGGTAATAACCTGGTGGAAAAGTGACCCAGTTTGTGGGCATCTCCACAAATCCTCTGCACATGTTTCCCCTCTGTAATGAGTGTATATCCATACCATTTATTTTTCCAATACCGATGGACCCTAGCTAAAAAGCAGCCCCTACAGTGTGTACTGTAGCTTCCTACTCCAGACCACAATCTCCAGGCATTTCTCTATACCCACCTCTTGTTTAGTGAAGTATGAATCTCCTCCATGTGTCTTCTGGTGCAGTCTGTGTGGGTAATTAATGTTCAAGAGGTGATCCAGTCTAGTCCCAAGCTATTGGTCTCTCTGGTTGTAGTATCTTCCAGATTAAACATTAGATATATTCTCTCAGCCAAGGACCCTCCTCCAATGCCATCTTAGTCTGACTCATTCCTGGGTCATTTAATCATGGACATATTTTTCTTTTTGGAAAATGAAGAATTAGGACAAAGACTTCGTGATGTTCCTTTCAACTATTAAGGTTACTCTCTTCTCACTTGAGTTACTTTATTTTTCATATTTCATCACTAGCTCTGGACAGTGATTATATTAAGGAGATAATCAGTACATAATGGGGAAATTAACATGCTATTGTGCTACCTATTCTTTAAGAAGACAGGGGAGTGTAATGGGAGCAAAACAGGTGCGACAAATGGGGACATAGGATTTAGTGATGGTACTGTCTAATAGGGAATGTAGGCTGTTTGGTGAGACAGTTATGAACTGAAAGAGAAGTTAAAGCAAGTATTGATCTGATATAGTGGAGGAATCCAAGAGTTATACTATTTGTTGCCGTCAATATTTTTTTTTAATTTTCTTTTTAAAGATTTATTTATTTATACAAGCACTGGAGTACAGGCCAGAGGCACGGGAGAGTGAGAGAATTCACCAGAGACAGAGCAGGGAGCCGAACAGACAGAAGGACTGAAGTACACTGCTGAGGGGAGCAGTGGGCAAGAGAGGAGGGGTCTGCCTCGCCATGTGGAAATCTCCCTGGCTGGCTTGGAATCAAACCGGGGCTGCAAGGGCTGCGGACAGCTTCACAGCGCTGCGTTCAACACGCTGTGCCACGGGGAGGCCCTGTTGCCTTCAATATTGGTGTGTAGGAAAGGAGGTTCTGACATGTACCTTTATATACATTGGGGCTCAGAGGATTGGCTGTATTTCTTTGATATCCTACTTAGTAGAGTATACACTTCAGAAGAGAGAAGGCAGGTCATTATAGGTCAACAGATAAATTTGGAAATTAGAGAGATTGTTGTTATAAAGTTTAAGCCTAAACCTGGTTTGAAATTAGTCTGGACACTAAAAGAATAAGACACTATTTCCTGCACTACTTAATGTCCTGCTTCGTTGATCAACTCTTAGCTACACAGCTAAGCTTTCCAAGATGGTGAAAATAAGTACTGATTACCTGATTTTTTCTCTTCAGTTTAAGATCTTATATAAATTACATAGGCAAGTTATTTTGGCAGATATGTACAATAGATTTACGGTTGGAAAAAATCACTTAAATTATTGGTTATGACATATTACAAAATGAGATGTATCTAGGGGATTGAATTATAATTTTCTTTTTAAAATATTTTCTTTAATTAACTTCATAATTTCAATTCTTAATATTTTTCAATTAATAACATTTGTTTTCTTCCAGGGCCCACATTATCTTAGTTCCTGAATTTAGTCTTCCTCTGGAATACTACCTAATCCCCTTCCTTATCATAGTGGGCATCTGCCTCATCTTGATAGTCATTTTCATGGTAGGTAAATTAATTTTAAGTAATTTTAAAAAGATAAATGAATGGCTTTTAAAATATACTATATTGAGAAAGAGAAGTATGAAATAAAAGAGTGTATGTTATTAAATTATTTTCATAGTAATACTAAGATATTATCTTTGTCATTCTGATTCTCTCAGAGTTTATAGTGAAGGTGTCTTGAGGTGTCTTTTGGTATATCACATGCTGTATAATACCAAAACATTGAAGGCAAAAGTAGATAAGAGAATCCCTCTGTATCCTGTTACGATCAATATTATGCAAAGATATAAAATATTTTGTCTATTCTTACTAACTTTTAAATTTATTTTTCATGAACAGTATTTTCATTAACATTGGGTGAGTTTAAGTTTTTGTTGAGTACATAGATTAAAGATTAAATGCCACCTTTGAAAGGCTCAGTCTTCTCATGATGCTATGTATTTCTTTCCAGTTGTTTAGACCTTTCTTATTTATCAGCTTAACATTTTGCATGTCTTTTGTTAGATTTTTTTTTTTGAAATTACATTTTCTAATTTGTTATTAATAGGACATAAAGTAATATCAGTTTCATACAGTATTTTATTTTTTAAGTAAATTTTACTTTTCAAATGATATTAAGATTTACAAAAAATTTGTAAAGAAGAGCATTTCTGTACACTCCTCATCTAGTTTCCCCCATTGTTAATACCTTTCATTAACATATGTTACATTTTACAATTTTTTCAAAGCTAAGAAATTCATATTGGTATATAATTAGTACCTACACTCTAGACATTTATTAATTTTATCAGTTTTTCTATTAATGCTTTTTTTCCTGGTCCAAGATTCAAGCCAGGGTACCACATTGTATTTGGTTATCCTGTCTTCCCAGTCGCCTCTAATCTGTTATACTTTTTTGATTTTTCTTTTTTTCCCATGTCCTTGACAGTTTTGAGGAGTACACTAGTTGTCCTGTAGAATGTCTTTGAATTGAATGTTTTTATTACCAGTCTGGAATACAAGTGTTTTAACAGAATATCACTGAGGTAAATAAAGTTTCCTTCTCATAATATTTTAAGAGACACCTAATATATACAAAGTATTACTGATGGGGTTAATCTTCATCCTTTGGTTAAGGTAATTGCCAGGTTTCTCCACTTGGAAGTTAATTTTTCTGTTTCACTATTCTATTCTTTATTTGAAAGCAAGGCACTAAATATAGATCACCCTAAAGGTGGGGAGAGGGAAGAACTAAGCTCTTTCGTATTAAACGTCTAAATTCTCCTATTCTAGTAATTCGTATGTTGATTCTCTTGGGTTTTTGGTGTAAGAAGCAAGGAGACCAAAAGAAACAAATAAAAAACCAAACAAACTAAAATACCAGTTTCACACTAGGAGTAGAAATCAGTAAACATAAACTAATAAAAGAGTCTTCATTAAAAACTTAAAATGAGTTTCAGTAAATGGTGAAATGTTAGAAACCTTACCTTGAAAGCCAGAAACAAAATAACATATTTATTGTTGTTAGACTTCCTATTTAATGTTTTGTTCTATTTTCTGGTAAAACAAGAAGAAAAAACAATGAGAGAATTAGAAATAAGCTAGTTTTTATTTGCTTTTTTCTTTGTTAATAATGAAATGATGCTTTGATTAAGACATTAACATAATATCTTATGTTATAATCACTGGTATTTGTATTTTATTCTATGTTGTATTATGTTAATTTATTTTGTAAATTTCTAAAATTCTCAATTTTGGGCAAGAACTATTTGATTATAATGTATAAATTCTTTCTTTGCATTTTGGATTATTCAGATTTCTAATATGGGTCAGTTTTACATTAGGACATAGATGCAAAGATCCTAAATAAAAAATTAACAATATGATGTATAGGTAAAGGAAAACTTCAGCTTTTTGGTGCTAGAATATTCTTGACATCAACACTAGACAATCCCTTGAGCATATTTTTAGGATTATAAATAGAACAGGCACTACAGAAGATAGTATGGTGATACCTCAAAAAAATTAAACATAAATTGCCATATGATCTGGCAATGCCACCTCTGGATGTATAACCAAAAGAAATGAAAACAGGGAATTGAACAGATAAATATAGATCTATGTTCAATAGCAGCATTATTTGCAAGAGCCAGAGGAGGAAGCAACCCAATTGTTTGTCCATGAATGAATAAACAAAATATGGTATATAATACAATGGAATATTATTCATCAGTAAGAAGGAATGAAATTTGACACTCTGTTCAGTGTCCAGTCACACAAGGACAAATACTGTATGTTTCTATTTATATATAATACCTAAAATAAAAACAAAAACTAACTACCAGGGATTGGGTAGATGGGAAATTGAACTATTATTTTTTTTAATGTGCACAAAGTCCCTGTTTTGCATGTTGAAAGAATTCTATAGATAGCTGTTGGTGGTGTAGCACAACAATGTGAATTACTTAATACACTTTAAAACACTATAAACTTTAAAATGCTTAATATTGTAATTTTTATCTTACGTATATATTCCTATCATTAAAAATAACATATAAATAACTAGACAAGATAAAACTAACCATGACATAATTAAAGCTTTTTCCTTTTTCTAAAATAGTTTCATTTTTATTAAATAGGAAATATCTGTTTCATTTTTGGTGTAGAGTGCCTTAAATATCATCCAGGTCTACTGATCTTTTGCATAGTTTCTTGGACATTGAGATATTTTTCTACTTCATACTAAATCATATTTTCAAGAAATTCTCTGTACTAGCATAAAATGATATGTACATTTACTCATGTCAATTTAGAGAGACTTTTTATGATTTGTGCATGAGTTCTCTTTATTCATATCCATGTGTGCTATCCCTAGTGCTTTTAGAGGATCTATTTGTCCTTCTGAAAAGTGGATTTTGAGGTTATTTTTCTCTTTCACTTTACAAATACTTATTCTGTACCTACAATGAACTAGGTAGGCACTGCTTTAAGGTCTGAAGATTCATCACTGAACAAAATAGGTAAAACTCCCTGATGTTAAGCTGGTTATTACATTCTAGTGGAATTTATGCTCAAAACTATGAACTTTCTTTTTTATCTGTATGTGAATTTCTGTTCTTAACATTATTATTTTCTTTCTTCTACTTTGTTTTAATAGATTGGTTTTCTTTATCCAGCTGTTCAAATGAACGCTTACTGGTCTTTTTGTTTTGTTTTATGCTTGTTATGTTTTATGCTTTCTCCAACAATCATTTTATCTCTACCTCACTACTTCTGATAAGAAACAATTTTATTCTAGTTTGGTTAAAATTAATTTTTTTTCATTATTACATAGGATGTTTTATCAATTTGATGTTTCCATCCATATGGAAAGGGATATCCAATTATAATTTCTAACTCTTTTCTACCCTATTTGCTCTTTCACTCTTAGGGGAAATGAAGTATCCTGTCTGTGAGGTATATGTAAGATGACTAAATTAGGCATAATTGGCTCATCTCTACCTTTCACTTGGGACAAAGTTGTTGTCAGGTCTTCTATGACTGAGCCTCTAAATCTGGGGAGGGTGAAGGGAAGGTCCACTCCATTCCATAGTTGTTTTTGTCTATATATGAGTGAGTAAGACTATTTAATTCTATAGTTCAGTAAAATGTTTTTGTTCACTAATTTAAGTACGCTACTTGCCTTCATCTGACAGTTCATGATCTTTTTTTTTAAGTTATACAGAATGCAGGTGAAATGGCATGCTGATTATAAGCTTCCCTCCAAAGAAAACACAAAAACCCTCAAGTATCTGTTGAGATTTCTTCTGTGAATTATGGACTTAAAATTTTTTTTTTAGTTTCTAAAATATGGATCTTTTCTGTATTTTTTTTCCTGTTGATTTCTAATGATTATAGTCAGAAAGCATTATGTTATATATGTTTGATTATTTCCAAAGGTCTTATTGATCGTTGGAAATAATCAAACATATAACTTTCTATGTGTATAGAAAAAAGTATTCAATGCAAAGTTCTATGTATGTCTGCTATTTTGAATTTGTGCATTTGTCTTGTCTAGTTTCTGATTCTCTATTATCTTTTTTTTTAATCCATATATGTTATCTACAATATCTATGTATAACTTCTGCCCCACATACAAACTCAGGTTTGTTTGAGTCTAAAATAAATGACTTTTGCTCTTACATTCCCTCATACTCCATGGATAATCCCTACCTCCCTTTTTAAAAAAAATATTTTATTTTATTTTATATATTTTTACATCATTTTTCATTTTTGTACAATGTATGCATTTTCATCTTGGTTAGAGTCCCCATAAAATTCCCACCACCCTTGTTTTGATCCTACTCCCTTCTCCCCACCGCCCCACAGTGTGTCTCTGGTTTATAGTTAATTGTTGATTTTGATTTTTACCTTATTATAATTAGTCTTTCTCCTGATCCCTTATTTGGGTTTTCTAAATTCCTGCTATGAGTGAGACCATCTGGTATTTTTCTTTTCCTTTCTGGCTTATTTCGCTGAGCATAATCCCTTCCAGCTCCACCCATGTTGCTGCAAATGGCATGAGTTTATCTTTTTTTTTTAAAATAAATTTTATTTTTATATTCCCCATACAATTGCAATCCCCTTATTTTGACCCCAATTCCTCCCCTCCCCGAACCCCACTACGCATAGAGTGTCTCTGGTTCATAGTTGTTTGTTGATTTTGATTTTCACTTTCTTATAATTATTCCTTTTCCTGGTCCCTTATTTAAGTTTTCTAGATTCCCACTATGAGTGAGACCATCCGGTATTTTTCTTTTTCTTTCTGACTTATTTCGCTGAGCATGATCCCTTCCAGCGCCATCCATGTTGCTGCAAATTGCATGTGTTTATCTTTTTTGAATGCTGAGTAATATTCCATGGTGTATATGTACCACTTCTTCTTGATCCAGTCATCTGTTTTTGGGCATTTGGGTTGTTTCCAAAGCTTAACTATTGTAAATAGTGCTGCTATAAACATACGGGTGCAGGTGCTCTTTGGA